CACAGAACTCAACTTCAACTGCTTTCAGCACCTTTCAAACCGGGAGCCAGTGCTAATCAGTGATATTCCTCCACAAAGTCACTTGTGGACAAAAGCTTAGAAAATACCCAATCCTTCAGTGTCCTCATACATTTAAATTTAACACAAGAAATAATTTTCTTACCTTGCAGGAGCAGAAAATTCTCCCCAAAGAAGATCTGAACTAGTGTTTGACTGAACCACTGTGTTGGAGTTACTGCTGTCCAGCTCCAGCAGGCAGCCTGACAGAGACAGAAGCAGAGCTCATTAGCCTACGAGCTGGCACAGATTTTACTCATTTTCTGCAGCCTGAAGCTTGAAGACGAATGAGTCATCTAACAGCCACTAATTAATACGGTGCCTGTGGAAACGGGGTCACTCGTGTATTCGTGTTAAAGCTGCGCAAAGGGGAACATCCCACCTGACATCCTGTGTGCACTTTCATTTGCTGATGAAGACGTTTATGTTAAGTCCGTTTGCATACCTGTCGCTGTGCTTCCCATCTGTGGGACGATGTTGTGATTCGATAACCCTGATGAAGGAGGAGGGGCTATCTTGCCTCCAGGTGGTGGTGGGAGAAGTCCAAATCCACCCGATCCTTGTGGGCGGGGCTTATCCCTCTTTTTCCCTTGCTGCAGATGGAGAAGAATGAAGTTAGGCTCATGCGATGACAAAAACAATGTATTTCTTCATACTTTATTGATAGTTAAAGGATTGGATCACAAAATGTAACCTTTAAATTTAATCAGGGTTTTTATTTTTATGGGGTATTTCTGTTTGTTTTTTAATGAGACTTAAATGTAAGTTTAATAAGAAATATCTGTATTCATTTGTCTGCCTTCTGTCCTTTGCATCACTGTCAAACTCAATTCTGTTGTCATCACTGGTCCAATCATTTTCATGACTCATCCTGTCATTCTGCCTTTCAGACTCATTTGTGTGATCTGCCTCCACCCCATCCTTCAACAGCAGCCTGCATGTGCCTCTTTTATAGACAGATTTTTATCTGCATGTATTGTATATGCACATAAGCTGGTTCTCACCCCTATGTTGAGTGTGATGGTCTGCCCTTCCTTAAAGCCCAAGTCCAGCTTTGGTCCTGAATCCCCAAGCTGGGCATTTTTACTGAGTTCGGTCTCTTGTTTCACCCATCTGCAGAGGAGCAAGACACACAAACACACACTCTCAGCACTGATACAGAAATAAACAATGCACCTCAGCAGTTTTAACAACAACCACAGCAGCTTTGTACAAGCGCATCTCAAAAACAACACTTTGATGTTGAGTGCTTGTGTTGCAGACAGTTACAGTGAAAGAGAAAAATCAATACTCTGAATACCATTAAAGACAGGATGTACATCTGATGTTTGAGCAATTTACTGCATATTAGATTCCTCAAACTCACTCAGAATTTACTCATTTTAAACAAAACTTTATTTAAATGCGACAGTCTAGCACACAGGTTTGATGAGCCCCTAAAACACCCTCCCTCCTTTCTTAAATATTTCATATTGTGTGGTTGAACCAAAACCTAAACAAACTTTTTTTTCAGCTTACTGCTTCCCAACAACCACCAGCTAGGAGGCAGGAGGAGTTCAGAGGCTCAGGGTGGAGCCACTAGATGTGGCTCAGATGCCTCCTGGTGCAGACTGCAAATACTTCAGTATCCCAGGAAGAGCTGAAGGAGGTGGGCATGTAGGAAGAGAGTGGTCGAGGCATCCCAGCTTAGACTGGTGCCCTTGCGACCCAGATCCAGATAAGTGGCAGAAGCATGGATGGATGCACCCAGCTCTGCTGCTTGTTATATTCATTTCTGAACAACTTCAGCCTGGCTGAAGGCCTGTAAGGGGAATGAGGGCAGTACTACTACTTTTACTCAATATCATTCTGCATAGGAACATACAAATATCAGCATGTTTTTGGTCGGTTGCTTATCTGTGGTGTCTTGATCTGAAACTTCAGGAAATTCTGGCGTGGTCAGAATGGCTACTGGATGATTTGGCATAACCAGTGTTTCACAGACATTACATGTTTCAATCCCCTGCTATCAGATTGTCAACAAATACAGAAAGTAATCCACTAAAACCACCAAACCACCAAATCCTGCTTACTTGAAATGATCCTGCAAAGCCACGTTGAAGTCAAAAGCATCCCCTCGGTCACCAAAACCAACTCCTATGAAAGCACTGCGACCTGCCAGTAAGAGATGATAACTCACATTAAGACCAGCAGAGAAAGGATTTAAGGTTGAGAAATATTCTGGAGTTGCCGGGGTATTTCAATCCTCACCGTTGTCATCCTGTATCCGCAGGACAAAGTAGCGGCTGGAGTCGCTGACGGTTTCCACTGCTATACCAGGATACTCCTTCACTGGCGCCTGGGCAAACAGCTCCCCTGCAACAGCAGAGGAATGTTAAACCAATACAATGCAGTGAGGAAAAGTCGTGCTTCGGCACAGATGGGTCATAATTCTCAGTGGAAACATCACCACTAGCGTGACTTTCACATTACAGCAAGTCGGTGTCAATTTTACTATAAAAATGTAGTTTTAAGTGCTAAACCCAGTGATGTCATACCTGAGATTTTGTCCTCCAGTTTAACGTAGGCCGCTTTGCCCTTGGCTGTGATCCTCATTCGACCTGACCAGTCCGGAGCATCGAGCTTCCAATCAGCTGCCCTGCAGAAATTATTTGACATAGTTTAGCATTTTCAGAGCTGCAACTATCAGTTAGTCTGGTTACAATTCAATTAAATGTTAGTTATTCTCTGTTAATCGCTTTGTCTCTAAAGGAAAAAAAAAAAAACATTGTAAATGGCTTCCAAACACGAAAAAGAAATCAGGAAAATGCTCCAACTCGGGCTTTAAATACAGTACATTTCTGCTTAAAGAATAACCCAAACCTGGCTTTTGAGGTGTGATTGGCATAGTGGATTAGAGGGTTTGAGGCATACTAGAGTGCATAGACATTTACCTATTTGCATATCACCAAATAAAGCTACAAAACAGACAATGGAAAGAGAAGTGATGCTTCTTGTAAAGTATTTTTAATTCTTAGAGAATTTAATAACCTGTAGATTAAATGATTAGAGTCCAAGGCTGCTTAAACAGTTATTTATTTTCATGTCATAATGTGGCCTCATGAGTGCTGACAAAAGTCCAGATCCAATGAGGTTTCACTTGTTTCACTGACACTAATATGTACAAAGTCCAAAGTGACTTCTTTTTATTGCTTATTTTGAACAATAAAATCCAGAGAGATTCAGTGATATTTGGTTGAAAACTTATATTTCTAACATCTAACAAATGTTTGACGGTGGTATTGAAACGATTTGTGTATTTTAAATGAGGAGAATCTTTATTTTCTCTCTCTGATATTTCTTGATTTAGGTGTTCATTTACTTTCATTATTGCAGTTTTAATATGCGTTGCCTCAGGAGCCACAAACCATTAGTGGAGGCTGCACATATTAAAGTGGGATTATTTATTTAATTGTAAAAGCAAATATCCAAGGTTATTGCTTTAATGTGGTTATGTCATGAAAAGTAATTTTACTTTTTAGCAGTTTAATTTAAAATACTATTGAAAGTGTAAGAGCATTTTTACAGAGAAATGGGTAAAAAATGGGCCCATTTTTCCTCCATTCGTACCCCTTTAAAAGAAATCTTGAGCCTCCTGGTTTATCTCCAGAGCCCTTTTAGATGTTCCAGAATCACAAAGCAAATTACTTTGATTACTTTGAAAATATGCATTTATTTTACACATTGGAGCTCTGGCTCACAAACAAAAAGGATGATAAAAGCTCACACTTACACGTCACCTTTTTTTAAACAGAGATTTTGTTTTGGGTTATATTTTTGTGTTGCGTGATCAATTCAAATGATTTTTAATTAGTGTAATTTATTACTAAATTTATGGTCTGATATTCTTCTACACCTGCAGTAGAGACATGCACTAACAAGGTCCTCTTAGAGTCATGTTATTCCACATTACTCGGCTTGGCCTTCAGTAACACTTCAGGAATTTTGTAGTGGTTTTTGACCAAGATATCTCCATCAGCATGCATGACAGACAAATATGTAGGACTGCTTTCTTGCATTTGGCAATATCGCTAAAATTAGAAATACCCTGTCTCAGAGTGATGCTGAAAAACTAGTTCATGCATTTATCACTTGACTACTGTAATTCATTATTATCAGGATGTCCTAAAAACTCCCTAAAAAGCCTTCAGTTGATCCAAAACACTGTAATCAGAGTACTAACAGGGACTTGAAAGAGAGAGTATATTTCTCCCATTCTGGCTTCACTTCACTGGCTCCCTGTTAAATCCAGAATCAAATTAAAAATCCTTCTCTTCACATACGAGGTCTTGAATAATCACCATCTGATCTTAATGACCACTGTTTACTGCATCACCCCAACAGAGCACTTTACTCTCAGATGGCTCCCTTATTTTCAGTTTCAAGGCCCCCCCAACCGCTGTGGAACTAGCTAGGAACGAGGAGGTTTCTTCCTTTTAAAAGGGAGTTTCTTCCCACTGTCACCAAGTGCTTAAGGGGTCAGATCTTAGGTTAGGTAAGGCTTTTTACCTTACAGTATTAAGCACCTTATGGCAACTCTTGCTGCGACATTACACTATAAAAATTAGACTTATTTAAAAATATATTTTTATTAATGCCATGTTTCTTAGAAGTATGAACTAATTAACTGTTAGTATTTACTATTATCATTACTTCTCTAATTTGTAGAGGTACGATTTGGGGATTATTCTAGCTTAAAAGAGCTATATGTAATTATTAGGGAAAAAAAGTGTTTGAACTCTTTGATTTAATTGCTTCTGTGACTGGGACAGAAAACTCCATAACATGGTTGTAGGGAAGGTATCATGGCTGCAGCCAACAATTTTCTTCATTCCTAAATAAAAAACATTAACTTAGATTGAAAAAACAAAAGCTGTTAAGCTGACTAACATAGAAAACTATGGAATTAGCAAATGTTCACATAT